TAAAAGTACATTTGATTTTCCACGTATGGAGTCTCATGGTTTTTCTTTCCTAATTATTAAATGGAGAGGTGCTGACAGTCAGCATATTGCCCCCAACAATCCGGGTCCTTATTTTACCAACCTTGGAAGGATGGAAGGCTGTATCAACCTTGAGTCTATCAGGATCGAATTTCAGACTGTGGGCAGAGTTTGGCTACAATACTGCATTCTAACCACTGTGCCACAAGGTACAGGTAGTCGTTGACTTACAGTGAACAATTGAACCCAAAACCTCTGTTATGTGAGACATTTCTTAAGTGAATTTTGCTCCATTTTACGACTTTTGTTGCCACAGTTTGTTATGTGAATCAGTTAAGTTAGTAATACAGTTCTGGCTTCCCCATTGACTCTGCTTGTCAGAAGGTTACAAAAGGTGATCGCACGACCTTGGGACACTGCAACTGTCATGAATACGAACCAGTTGCCAAGCATCTGAATTTTGATCATGTGACTATGGGGATGCTGCAATGTCGTAAGTATGAAAAACAGTCATAAGTCACTTTTTCATTCCCAACGTAACCTTGAACAGTCACTAAATGAAGTGCTATAAGTTGAGGACTACCTGTACTCTGTTAACATGATAGCCTAACCTGAAGCAAGTGGTGGGTGGGGCTAAAGGATATTTTTTTTCTCAGATAATTCCTTTTCTTTTCTTTTCTTTTTTCTGATTCTTCTCCTGTTTTCTTAAAATTATTTCTCTTTCTTTTTTTCAGGCAGCAGGTAAGGGGAAAGGCATGTTCACCATAAGCCTAAACTGGTCTCTTGTGGCAGAAGACGACCTACATTAATAGGCATTGTATTTTCTTCTCTCAATTATCTACATGGGCTGGATTTTGTAATCTGTGTCTCCATGTCAGATCTTAGAGCATTTGGAGAACAAAAAAAAAGCATAACTGGAACTTGTTTAGCTGGTTTCCTCTTGCCATTCAATATAATTCACCAGAATGAATATTAATCTCCACCAAAAATATCCCCCAAAGCACACAGACAATTCTTTGCTTGCCAGTTGCTCATGGATTTCATCTCACCGTCTTTATAATTTAGTTTATAATAATTAGAAACATTATTTATTCTCTTCTGCAGTACAATATGATCCAAGAGCTTTTAAAGAAATTGAGTGTTAGGTATGAGCATTGGCTCCTTTCTCCTCTAATTATTGTGCTTGAAGCAACTGCGAAGAGGTGATAAAAAGTAAATTATGCTGTTCATCAACATACCAGCCAAAGGGTGGATGGGCTGTTAGAACAAGCTATGCTTCTCAGACCAGCAAATAAGAATGCAGAAGCACACATCATTTTTTTTTATTTTATTTTACAAAGCTCTCTGTAGCACTACTTTATGAATAATTAATCTGTCTAGTAACCTTTCGGTTCAATAAGCCCAACAAACCTGCAGGTGTTCATTTTGCATCATGATGTCTTCCATCTCCTGCTGTAGGCTACTCACAGATCGATCCAGCTGTCCTCTCATCTGACTGAGTCTAAAAGTATCATCTTCTTTCCCAAATTTCTCACGCTCTGCCTACAAAAACAACACCAAAATCCCTTATTCAAAGATAATGTTAAATTAGGAATTATTTGGTTCTTGCTTGGTACAGTCTGTGAACATAATTTTGAGGTACTTTTTATGAACTATAATTTGTGGCTTAACATTGGTGTGAGTCAAACCAATTGAACCCAGTATCTGTACTCAACCATGTGCTGCTTTCATATACTTTAGCGTTATTTTGGCACTAGAATCATACACATTGATCATACACATGCGGTAAGCCAGACAGCTAGTACATAAGCTTACTTTTCTTAAAGAGGAAAAAAGGAAAATTTTGGAAAAAGGCCTTGTGTTTCTGTAGGATGCATCCCTTAAATCTAGATTCATATCTGTTGAGATAGGTTTAGTAAATGTAGAACAATTGTATGTGGGCTTCCAAACTTCAGAGTATTGCAGAAAAGAGAAGGTTTTTTAAATATCTCTTTGCAATAATCTAATAGTTGGATTTTTGCAATACACATGGTAGCTCTAATAAATAATGTAAGAGGTAACCATACACCTACCAGTACAGATAACACCATTATAATGGAAAAGTGTGTGGCATCCTACCTCACCCTTAATTTTGCATTAGTTCAACAATACTGAGTCCGTGATCCAAAGTGGGGGGAGCGGAGAAAAAGCACCCTCCCAATGTTGCAAAATATATTTGCCAAACTTAAAGAGGCATAGAGGGAAAGAACTGAATTGGCTGTGAGTTGCAAGAGTTAATGGATATACTACTATGCAAGATGAAAAAACTTCCAAATAACATCTTGGAGGAAGGGATCTTCTGTCCCTTTAAGACTCACTAGAAGAAAATGTTAAATAGAGGAGAGAGAGGTAAAATCCAGAATAAATACATGGCCAAAATCCAGAATAAATAAATGGTCACATCCGGATTTCCCCTCTGGAGACATCAATAAAGAGTTTTATGAGGTTGATATGAATTACCTTCGCTGGCCTGATGTTCTGGAACTCATTAACTAGAATCTACCCTTTCTTCAACCCAGGGAAAGAAGTTTTGCATTGGGGAATTCTGGGGCACAATACATATGGCTATTTTATGCTTGCAGAGATAAATGCTTGTAACATTATTTTGCCATAACAGACAAATAGCACATTCGTCACCCTCTTCAATTCTCCAGCTAGAAAAATCTACTAAGAACAATAAATAATTTCCAACAAATGCCTGGACTGACCTTTTCTATCGCTTCTGGAGGGACTTGGCAAGAACATTTTTAACCCTTTCTAGGGATACTCACAATAGCTAGAAATAGAATTATCATGGCTACAGAGACAGTTCAGAATTTTTTAAAATAAAAATCTTGCACATAAAGCATAGGAAAAAATCACAAGAACTTCCAGTTCAAATTTTTAAAGAAAAAAAGTAAGTCAAAAACCCTTAAATTAGCACATATGACAAAATAAATTCATCAGGTTTCTATTTTAAAAAATAAGCCAATATGAAGCATAGCAGTAAGGAATATCTATGACTTGTTCTGCATGGCACTCTGTTTATTTTGGCTTAGCCTGTGAAATTGGACCATTGGTTAATAAGTAGTTTGCATTCTTGTTCTTTAAAATTTATTCTAAACATCATGATATGTAATTTGCCTTCCAGTCTTTGGACCCAGAGAATGCAAGAACAGCTGCAAAATCGGAGAGGGATTTCCTCCTTCTGAAAGGGACACGAAAGGGAGTCCTACATTTTTTAAAAAATAAGTCAAAATAATAACAGCCCCATCAAACAAGTACTGTCAACTTGGTCATTTGTTGAAGAAGTAATTAGAGACTGGTGATCGATCTCACAAATAACTTGGCTTTATGCTATGAAGGGTTTTATAGGTGATGAGCAGTACTTTCTGCTGGGAGCATGTGCAATGTGCAGAACAGGAGTGTTACATGGTTTGATGGTGTAGTATTGCAAACTGTCAGGAGTCATTGTGTGTGAGTTTGGCAGCCATGTGTTTAATGAAAGAATAAAATATAATAAAATGAAATAAAATATGCCACTGCATCCCAGACCAGCTGCAACTTCCAAATGGTGTTCAAAGGTAACCCTATGTAGAACAGATAACAGTCGTTCACATTGTAGGCAATCAAAGTGCAGGACCTCTTGGTTCAATAAAGGGCACAATTGGCACATAAGATGTGAAGTATGGAAAAGCCCTTCAGCCATAGTACCACCTGCCTCTCAAGCAGGAGTCAGGAGTCTAGAAAAATCTCAGTTATAAATCTCAGAGGTATTGCACACCAGCTATACCTCCTAGAGGAAGGCTAATCCATTCTGTGGCAAAAATAAGTCCCTGCCTGTGAGTAGTCCCAAAATTTACAGCTACTTAAATGCCAGTGATGAAGCTGAGCCTGTTCCTCCCAGTCCACACCCTATTCTTCAGGCATTGAAACACACCTTGATAATATTACTTGGTAGGCTCAGGCAGAGATGCAGAATTAAATGTCATTAGCATACAGTGATGATACCTAATCCTTTACCTTCATATGACTTCACCTAGCAGTGTTAGGTAGATATTTAAAAAAAATCTGGAGAGACAATAGAACCCTGTGGAATCCCACACATCTTACAGCCCATTTAGGGCTGTTCTTCTCTATCACAACCAACAAAGAACCAAAGCTGGAGGTAGGAGAAAATACACTGCAATACTGTGTCTCCCATACTCATCTCCCTAAACTAGTCCAGAAAGATTCTACAATTAATGGCATCAAAGGCTATGAGATGTAAAGAAGAGACAAAATCAATACACCTGCCTCCATTCTGATCCCTCCAGATCAGTGGTGGGATTCAAATAATTTAACAACCAGTTCTCTGCCCTAATGATTTCTTCCAACAACCAGTTCACCAAACTGCCCAGAAAGGTAACAACCGGTTGTCCCAAACTGGTGTGAACTGGCTGAATCCCACTACTGCTCCAAATGTTATCAGTAAGCGCAACTATTGCTGCCTCAGTATGATAGCCAGGTCTGCTTCTTTTAGTGTCCTCTCAGTCTAAAGTATCAAAAAAATCTATAAGATATGTGGTAAGAATAACTGTCACTACATAGAAAAGACAGGTAGAGACTGACAGGCCGTATAATGAACACCAAATGACAGATGACAAGATGAAAGCAACACATGGTCAGGCTCAACCATAGTTTCAACTGGGAAACTCTCAAACCAAACCAAATCCAAAAAATGCTAAGGACTTCCTGGAAGCTTGGTATTCAGATAAATCAGCCATCAATGCACATGTAAAATGAAGGCTACTTACATATCATTTAAAAGACACAATCCAAATCCTAAGAAGGAAATAAACATCCTTGATTCTATTGATCACACTTTGTGATAAATAAGTGGGTTTTGAGTTGCAGTTTGGGCACTCGGTCTCTAAAAGGTTCACCCTCACTGGCCTAGAACATATCCGCAACAGCAGCCAACCCTGAAGATGAGCATGAAGTATCAGATATAGGCAGGGATGGTATTAACTTACCTTCCCTACCGGTTCACAAATGTGAGTGGTTGCGCATCCGCCTTCCGCACATGCACTTTGCCTAAAAAAGGGGCCTAAATGGGATGCCGTAGAGCGAGGGTGGGTGGGTGGGCGGGCCCACCCACGATTTCTGCTACTGGTTCGGGTGAACCGATCAGGACCAGCAGAATACTATCTCTGGATATAGGGAAGAAACATTACCATTATCAAGGAACCATAAAGGAGGAAGCCACACTCCAACCAAGAGTGGCAGGGCAAGCTAATATACTATATATAAACAACCACGAAGCCCCATTGCCCCACATCGATGATGTTAACCAGTTGAGTCTGTAAGGAAACAATCTAACTAGGAGAGCATAAAGAAATCAACTGTGAAATCATAAGTTACATTACTGTATTTTTCAGAGTATAAGACGCACTGGAGTATAAGACACAACCAGGTTTTGAAGAGGCAATTTTTTAAAAAAAGTAGGTAGGTAGATAGAGGGATAGAGAGGGATAGAAAGACAGAAAAATACAGTAGGTAGGTAGGGAGAGAGATGTGCCAATTGCATATAGACATGTGTGTGTGTGTGTGTGTGTGTG